ATGGTGCGAGGATAGAACTATTCTAAAAATTTGAAATCTTTTTTTTTTACATGGAATGATTTTTAAAATTTTCTAAAACCTTTAATAGTTTAATAATAAACAAATGGAATTTTACGTTAATATCGGACGTAACAATTATGACGAATGATGTCGTCGATAGTCGATCGATAGATTAAATCTAAATATATCGGAAGACGAAGGTCAACATGTGCATTATCTTAGTCATTCTTCTCTGTTGTTTGTATATAGACAACACTAATAGTAGTGTTTATTCATCATTTTCACTCGCTCGAAACGATGACAATATTAACAGATGTATACGTTTCTATATTTTAATTCTCATGTTTACCGCTCATATTCATCCAGTATTTATTTAATATTATTGATTTTAGCTGATGGTTGTCTTGATCGTGCATTAGCTATTATATTTGCACATGAAGCTCGTTGTCTTGCTTTATTAGATATACAAAAGAAACCATTAGATGATCTTAAAAATTCACTTGAACTAATCTATGACAAAGGCCATTGTTATATTTATACTTATCGATGTGATCTTAGATTTATTTTATTTATTCCTAAAGTAAAAAAGAATTGCTGAATTTATTCAAATTCTGTAGTAATTTGAATGCACTCAACTACATAATAAAAGTTATTTGTGAATAATTAATTGATAATATTTCAGTATCGATCAATTGTGCTAGTAAATATTTTTTAAAATAAAGATTCTTTATATAAAGATAATTGAATTCATTTTCTATTTTATAGGAACAGATCATATTAAAAATCCTACATCTCACACAGATGATGAATATCAATATACATTAATCGTCAATACACTTATTCTAATATTTGTATAATTTATTAAAAATTTTATAATTAATAGATTACTAAAGATTTACTTGGTGAAATGATATCTCGTAGTTATGGACATATTGTTAATGTTGTCAGTAGTAGAGCATTGCGTGAAAATGCTTTTAGTTCATTCTATTCATCTTCAACAGCTGCTTTATTCAGTAAGTTCTATTTGTGAATTGTTTTTAATTCTGTTTTTATTTTGCAAAATTAATTCATAGATTTTATGGGAATATTTAGTCACGAATTGATGTTTTCTAAAGCAACTGCTCTTTGAGCGACAGCTGTTTTAATATTTTATCTTGATGGTGGAATTTATACAATATTACGTAAATAGTAAATATTATTTGAAATATTGAGGCTTTATAATATGAAAACTATTTTTGTTTAGTGTGAAAGAGAAAGTTTTACTTGTAACTCTTGAACTTTTTTGTGAAACACCACGTGCAATTGTATGTGGCAATTTTTTCGTTATAATGGTACTTAGTTTTTTTGGCTATTTTTTTTATTCTTGTATTTACTATTAGAAACAACACTAGAACTACGTTTGTCTTTTGTAGATAAATCATGTCATCCACAACAGAATATGTCGATTTTCAATTTTTCATTAATATTCCCGGTAGAATTGAAAGAAATTTACATCCGCCATATGTATTCAAGTACATGCGTTATTCTTTGGATCCGAGAAACAAAAAAAAACAAATAATAAATCAAAAAAAGTTGCTAATCTATGCTATTCTAATTGAAGTTCACTTAAGATATAAAACAGCTCAATCGAAGAACGATGGTTATAAATTTTCTTTAACCATTACGGACAATAATGGAATAAAATTAAAACCAAATTTACCAATTAATTTATCAAAAACAGGTCAAATGAAAATGCATCAATCAAAAATGTTGAATACATTTTTTATGAAGATTTTAAATAATGAAGAAGAAAGTGATGATGAAGATGACGATAAAGACATTTCGTTTTGAACAGTATCATTATATTTGTTCATGTTTCAAATAAAAAGAACGTACTTTTATCTCTATTTTGTTTCTTTTGATGAAAGTAATAATTCAATATCCCTTTTTTGTCTTTGTCCAAATATTCGAATTTCTCCTCTATTTATTGTCCATAAATGTTCTGTATGATCAGTTGATCCAGTTAATATAAAACTCCCATCTCCTTTATAATCAGTGCATTCACAAAAGATAATTGGTAATAGATATCCTTGCCAAAAATGTACAAGTAGTGGTGTTGTTCAATCAAATAAAACAGGTGATGTTGTTGAACAACAATAGTCTTCTGTATTTCATATACGTATTTCATCACGAGTATCACAACAAATCAAATGTCGATTTGTTGCATCAGTACACATAGCTAATATCGATTCACCTGGTGTAGATGGCCTAGAAAACATTCCCATATCTTTACGTTTACCATAAAGTGACCATCAGTACAGATTACCAGCTTCACTTGATAGTAAAACATCTATCAATATAACAAATAAAAATAACGAATTTTTTTTTCTAATAATTACATGCCAAATTTCATATTTTCTTAAGCACGATATCGAAGAAAGAGAGAAGGTTATCAAGAGATGCTGGATCTTGTATTATTGAACCACGTGACGATGATCGACGATAATTTGATGGTTCACGACGACTAAAGTTCAAATAGAAAATATTAGAAGTATAATCAAATATAATATTCTTACAGTTCAGCTTTTAGTGCTTTAGATAAACATATAAGTCATTTTTCCGTATCAATACTCCATACATTAATTTCATCATCATGTGAAGCTGTACATATTAAATTATTAATTGGCAATAGATGTTCTAAACATAATATATCATCACGATATATCTGTGGGCCACGCCATGATAAATCAGCTTTAGATACAACAAGCTAAATAAACAAATAAAATTCGTTATTTATTTATTTGAAATGTTATTTCAAAAAACAAATAAATTAATAAGTTAATTCAATCTGTACATCAATCTTTATTTGAACAAATGTCATTTTTTCTCACTCTATTAATACCTCTACAGTATTCGTCTGATCATCAATTATATCCTATAAATGTATGTATATTAATAAAAAAGAAAAATAACAGCGAAAAAAAGATGATTATTTACGTCAGAAATAATATCAGAATAGTTAAAGATTTTTTTAAACCATCCAACTGTAATAATACCTTTATCAGCAAAAGCAATTTCTGTTATTTCTGCATCTTCTACACTTGCTAATACATGAAAACTTTGTTCATTAGCACTATTCTAAATCTTAATAAAAAAGAAAAACAATGAAAAAAAAGAATACAACTAAAAGAACATCTTACTGTAACAACACTATTTCGAGCTTCTGTTACAAGTTTTCGACATACTCGATCAATAGTAAATACATGTTATTTCTTCACCATCATGTGCATCAAGTATAAAATAAGCTTTACATCCTGATTCAATATTTCACGTACTCATACTTGAATTATCTGCACATGTTATTAACTTTAATATAGATCATAAATGATATTTTTTTCAAAATGAGAATGAAATAATTAGTTGTTTAAGTTTAGAATTATATACTGCACAACTAACCGTTGCTGTATGTGTTTCAGTTAAATTACCATCTCTAGATGTATCTTGTCCTAATTTCATTATACATAAATAATCATTACATGCTAAAACTAAACCATCGGGTAAACTTGTATCAGCATTATTATTTAATTTATTTAGATATAAATCCTTTGGAAATAGACCAAAATTTGATGTTTTGCCGCCTAATATACTAAGAAATCGTATCGGAATTGCTTGAAGACAAAAAAAATACTTTTAAATTCCAAGTTGTAAGAACTTATACAATGATTTAAAACCTTACAAAAACAAGCATTTTTAAAGAAAAAACCATACAGCATCTTTGCTAAATGTATAACATCGTTCTAAACCTTCATTAATTTTAATATGAATTACTGCTGCATGATGTCCTTCTGAAATGGCTATATTTTTCTGTTACATATAGATTGCAAATACGTGCAAGATAATCAGCACTGCCAGTTATTAAAACATTTAAAGCTTTATTATAATCAAAACATTCACATCTCTATGAGATTATGATTTTTCATGCAACAATATTTTACATTTATTTACTTTGTATAATCGAAAAATATAAGGTTTATTTAATTTGTTGATATTAGTAATAACTAAAGAATTTCGATTATCTCCATTTAATGCAAGAATTGAATTATTATGTGGTACATATACATAGGGATTCAAAAAGTTCTGAGAATTTTTAAAAAGGACTCTGTCGAGTTTAGTGACCTATTCAGAATTAAAAGATTAAACACACCATGTTGTAGAGCAAGTTGAGGCACGTCTAATGGTATATTATAAATCTTGTTTTAATAAGATTTTGAAGGAACTAGACTGAATTTATTGGTAAGAGACCATGCATCCAAAGCATGCTCAGTAGCTGATTATTGTGGGCCTTGATAAATAATTTTCCTATATACTGTTTTGTAGAGATTTTCATGGACTACAAGCTCATATACTTAACATCTCCGATCGTTCTATCTTTGATAGGGACAAATGCAACTTTCCGATGACTCATCATCGCTTTCCATGGATAGTGCATGTTGTTGAGTCTTCCGGTGCACAGGTACCTACCAGTAAATTTAATCTAATTCCGTCAAAATCTTATAACAACAAGATTTATTATATACCATTTGACGCGCCTGAACTTGCTCTACAACATGGTGTGTTTAATTTTTTAATTCTAAACAGGTTGCCAAACTCGACAGGATACTTTTTAAAATTCTCAGAACTTTTTGACGTCCCGCATGTAATATCTTAGGAAAATATTCTCGATGAATAGTACCCATGCTATGATATTTTACAAATTTCTTATGTTCTTTTAATTCTTATATGTATAAATAGAAGAATAAAAAAAATAGTTTAAAGAAAACTATATACTAACATCCCAAAAAATACATTGAATAGAATTCGCTAGTGATTTATCAGATTTCGTTGAATCTGATTTCCGTCGAACTGGATCAAATAGAGAACTAACTGGATTTTTCAAATACAGTATATGAATAAAAGCACAATCATCACCAAATATTAAAGCTGATCGACTATTTTCACTTTAAAAAATACCGATTTTGTTTGTTGTGTCTCTTAACAAAAAAAATTAATTATTTTATTTAACCGTAGTACTGGGGTAATATTCAAGACAAGTAGGGACATTTTTAACACCTTAAAAAAATTTTAAATTTTCATTTTTTTTCTTGTTCTATTAGACTTACCAAGTAATGCAAAATTCTTCAAGAAATATTTCACTTGAAATAGTAAAAAATCTTAAATCTAGACTAGTGGATGCAAGTACCAATTTATGTGTGTATCAGGCATATAAATAGCGTCAATTACCCACATTCGAGCTCGTCGACGATTTTGTCCAATTCCACTTACATTACTACTTGTACCATCATCAAGTTCATCAGCAGCCGAATGTTTTTTCTACATGAAGATTTAGTGTCCATAAGCCCAAATAACCTTCTTTACTAATATTAATAAATTTAGTTAGAATTTCTAAACGAAGAATTTTGCAACAATTCTTGCTAGAAAAAAAAGAAAATGAATTTTTTTCAGAAATAATATATATAATACAAACTTTATTATGAGGTACATATCGAATTTTTGGTTCATTATTAAAAGATGATGTACGGAGAGTATTTGCATAATCTTCTTCTTGATAAAATTGAAGCATATATCTACAAAAATCATTTCAATTAATCAATTCTGTTTCTTTTGAATTGAGCTAGATGAAAGAAAAAACATTTATTTATTTATTTATTTATTCATTTATTTCATAATAATTGTTTATATATACTTTATCAAATAATTTTTCCACTTGATTTCCATATTGAATTGGATCTAATATAGATTCAAATGATACAATAAATTCTTCTTTATTTAATAAACTTATCAATTAATAAAATCTATTATATAAATATTAAGAAAAATATTTTCTTACCGGTTATTTTATCATTTGTCCCAGTAATATTCTCAAAATTATCAATTGTTGTACGGTTAAATCGTTCATGAAGAAAACGAAATTCTTCGACCTGTAATTTTTTTCCTAACAATCAGTGGATCATTAATAAATACAGCATATATCTAACATCAAGATTTTTATTTTTCGTATACTTGTTCTTCTTAATAACATCCATCCAAAAAGAAGAAAAAAGTAAAAAACTCTTGTTCCTTCTATTATTACTTATCAAATTGCTTTACTTCTATTCTTTATATATTCGATAGAGAACAATAGAAGAAAAAGCGAATGACAGTAAAGCATAAAAATTCGAGAAGATGTAAATCCGTAAATGTACTCGACAGCATAGATATATATTGTCTGTCACTATGAAGAAGTAGTTGATCATTAGCGGGTGCAGTTATTCCATCTTGAGGTTTTGAAACTAAGCTTGCATTTGTATCCATTATACTTTAATTTTTTTTTTTATTCTTTTCTTGTTCGTTTTGCTGTCGAAAAGATTATTGTTATTCTTATCGAAATATTGACAACAACATCATTATCGATAAAATTGTTGGCGACATCAAGCAAAATAAGTTTCTTTTTGTTGCTTCTTCCTTTAAGTTTTTTTCAATGTCTTATCGTCATTTATGTATGGCATGTTATCTTTTTTGCGCTCGTTTCTGTGGTTGTCACCTTGTTAAACAGCAACCGTCATTTACTGTAGAAAAATCTGATCATACAATTTGTATAAATAAAACACATGTATGTCATTTTCCAATCGTCCAAACATACATTGAATAACGAGTGACATTAATACTTTCTCTTTTCTCTTGCTGCTGAGGTCAATCCATAAAGAATAAAGGGGTGAATAAGTATAAAAACAATGCTCGTCAAACAAAACAGCCAAACGTATATTTCTTATTTAGATCGATATATATATTTATCGGTCTGTATGAATGAATAA